GTTCGCAATACAACCTACAGGTGACGAACGCGTCGGTCCTCTGCGAGCGTCTGTGCTTCTTCGCCTGCTTTCTTCCTGGCCACGGAATAACGCAACGCATGAACACTTGCGACCAATCTCCAATGGAGCCGTCTGCCATTAAAGGGCAAACGCTCCCCGGGGCTTGAGTTGGACCCTCTCTACAATCTAGGCTCCCTATGAATAGTCAGAACCGTAAATAGAGGAAGCTTGGCCAATCATTGGGAAGTATAAGGGTCAAATGAGGAGACGCCATTGAACGAAAGCGGGCTGGGGGTGTTCGAGGGCGTCTTCACTAATTCTAATGTGGCCAACCAGAACCCGAAAATAATACCCTGGAGGTGGTCGCGAGAAACAAAATTATTAAGTGCGTCGGAGCAACTCTCGGTGACTGAAAATATGGTGAACGTGATGCTACAATGACGGTCATCCAAAATCATGGTAGAAAAGCACGACTAGCGGAACGATCGACATAAATCCGTACGCCAGGCAGCGAGGGCCGGGAATCTGCCGTTTGAGCGGTCACACTCCGTCCGAGCAAAACAGAGTTCAAGCGGCACATTCGTTTCTTACATCTTTTTGCATGATCATAATGGAAACATCACGTGCACCCAATTTTCAACCACGAAGAGTTACTACATATAACCCTTATGCTTTTATTAAATATGTGCCTCGCTACCTTTTGCTAGGGGATACTTTTTAGCTTCTGCTTGGCCAAGAGAGCATGCCAAGCAATCTATTTGCGTGAAGTGCACGTCAGCTGCGCTCGCACTTAATAGGGAGTTTTAGTAGATCGTTTTTAAATGCCCGCTAGGGCGCGCGCTTCGCAGCACGCATCAAAGTGGCAGAGCGAGCTCCCGCTACAAATAGCGTGGCCTGAAAACACAATTTACTAAAGCTCTCTAGTAGGAAACGGACTATAGACGACTAAGTAAGTTTGAGAAAAAACAAAAACAAAAAAACAATGAGATGTGCTGCACATCTGATAGTTGAAACGGTTTCAGGTGACGTAAATGAACCGCACTACTTATGACTTATGAACTGCTATTTCTTTTTCTTTTCGTATGAATACAATGTTACTTTCGTAAAATTAAACCAATATGTATCGCCCCCCCTCCTTTGTTTTTCTTTTATCCACGGTTTCGGGTTTTTAAGACTCTGAGATTTGATCTTATTTGGGTGAAACTTGTACTTTGGTACGCAAGCACTGCGTCAAATCGTTGCTATTTATTGCAAAAAAGGTGACGCAAGAGAGCGAGGAGAGACTGCAAAATATCTTATGGGCGTTGTTTTTTTTTTTTTTCAAGATAAATAAAAAAAACTCACATTTCTCGTAACTGGCTTCCCTCCCCCAGAAGTACACCATTTTCGATTTTTGGTTCTTTTTTTTGTACGTCGACCGTCTTCTTGCGCCACCGAAAGATCGTCCTATAAAAATTTCCGACGTGACATTTTTTTTTTCTCAGCACCTGCCATGAATCTTGAGAAAGAAACTGCAGAAACCTAATCGTTTTGTTGAACGATTACCTTCGCAATAGTCGTCTGATTGCAAGTTTCTCAATCTTTTACCTTGTTACCTGTACCGTTTCGTCCATGTCTCAACACTTGCTTGTAACTATAATAGCTTTTAGTAGAACGCTTTGTGTATTATTTTTGTATCATAATAGAGTGTTTTAGGGAACCGTGTTTGCACATCCGATGCCGTGCGATGCACTCTAAAAAAAAAAGGGTGTCAAAGGGTGTATGGTTACATCCTTTGTCCCATATAATACACCCCCAAACTTCAATTCGACACACAGCCCACTACAGTCGAACAGACGGCCTGAAATCTTACGAGGGGCTTGATAGCCGTGTGGTACAACTTATTAAAATAGCTAATGCACGTTTTACTGAGAACGAAAAAAATAATTTGGGTTTTCTTGGCCCTACTGTAAAAGCTCGGTGTTTTCTTTATGTGGTCTTTGATACGTACTTTAGCTATTTAAAATGCTGTACCACTCGGCTATCAAGCCCCTCGTAAAGTTTCGGGCCCAATGTTCGACCGTAGGGCACTGTACGTCGAATTGAAATTCTGGGGTGTATTATATGAGACAAAGTGTAAAAGAATACACCATTTGACACCCTTTTTTCTTGAGAGTGTGGGTCTTCCAGTACGCACTCCGCATATGGGAGTCTTCTGTGGAAGCGCATGCGCAGTTCGTACAGGAGGACGGATCGACCGTATCAGGTGTGCATGATGCATGCCGAGATTCCGGTGTACGATATTCTTCATCTTCTAAACGTTTCTCACCTACAAGCCGAACGAATAGCTTTGCCTAGGCTATTCACTGTTTCGCTTCTTTCGCAGGTGTTGGATTTGTATGTCATTTCTAGCACGTACAAAAAAAAAAATCACACGTCAAAATACCATGAAGACAGTGATATTAGGATCTCTAAAGTTCTTGAGGGAAATAATTATGGGTCAGCTCTGCTTGTTACCCAATCTTGCGTCTTGGGTGAACGCACACGTTACTTGGCTGTTCCGATGGTGGCGTATTTTCGCAATAATTAAACGTAAAAATATATGGCTGTTTTTTTGCTTTTTTTTTTGCGCATATGAAGGTTAGCTTTTATGGAACTTAATTCGTGGCGTAGCCAATGCAAACCAAAAAAACCTGGTCTGATCAAAGCACCCTTTCCTCCATAATCAGAGTTGAATTACTTTGTTATCCAGAGACGGTACTCTGTGAAACCACTATGCAGCTCGCTGCTGGAGAGACTATATGCGGGTCTCTTAACTTTAAGGTTACCGGAGTGTGTGTGTGTGTATATGGGGGGGGGGGGGCATGAACACAGTTAATCCGCAACTGACATGCTTATTGGCAGTAATGGCAATATGTTCTCCCCGATGGCGGAAAAAAGTCTGAGGTAACGGCGCCGCATTTATTGGCGGAATCACCAGTCAGAGTCCGAGCTGCCCTAATAGGCAAGTTCACGGGAATCCAGTGGCAGGTGAGAGTAACAGTGACGTTTAACATCACGTGTACTCTTGCTCAAACCGTGGATGCCTTCAACGCACCAACAACCCCGGCAGTGAAGAGGAGGCGCTTCGGTCTACCGCTAGTCCGCGCGGCTGGTGGCCAAAAGGGGCAACAATGGGAAACCCTAGCCGCCAAGCGATGGGACACGGGCACTGGGTCACAGTTCGGGAAAAAAAAAAGTGAAAGCCGTTTACAAACTCCCTGTAACGCCGAATGGGAGCGCAGCTCTTGAGGAGGAGGAGGGAAGGGAACTGTGGGGAGGGTAGACCCCTCCTCCTCATCCTCCTTTTCCTCCTCCTCCCCTCATTCTTTAATATGCTCCGGGGGGTCACGTGACCTCGGGGGGGGGGGGGGGGTTGAGGGGGGGGTCACGTGACCTCGGGGAGGGGGCCACGTGACCCCTTGGGGGTCACGTGACCTGGGGGGTCACGTGGGGGTCACCTTGGGGGTCACGTGACCTTGAGGTGACCTTGGGAGGGGTTACGTGACCTTGGGAGGGGTCACGTGACCTCAAGGGTCACGTGACCTGGGGTAACCTGGGGGTCACGTGACCTTGGGGTGTCCTTGGGGGGTCACGTGACCTTGGGGTGACCTTGGTTACGCCAACAGCGACGCCGACGGCGACGGCGACGCCGCTCAAGCCGGAAACGGGCGCCTAAGAGTTGCGCTCTAAAAAAGCGCTCGGAGATTTGAGCTTGAGATCGGGTTCAATGATTGCGTCCACGGACCCGGTCGCAGGGTTGCGAATAATTCCCATATGATGGCGACACCTGTCAAACCTAACTTCATTGCCCGGTAGGCATACTAACCAGACTTGTACGTCACGGCTTACAGGTAACGTGTTAGGTGTGTAGTGATTAAAAACACGTCAAGTTACTAGGACCCAGGAACGTGTTAAGTAACTAGGAACATGTAACTCGTTACCGTAACGCGTTATTGTACCTAGCTAGTTTTTTGTAATGAAGTAACGATTTATCTACGTTTTAAGAGAGAAGAAGTAGCGTATTTTTGTTACTTTTTGATGAGGGGCACGTATACAACGCAAGTTCCCAGCAAGTTCTCAGCCCAGCTTGCAGGTATAATGTGCATGACGAGAAAACGGCTAGATATGGGCCAAAAAAAGATGTGCACAAGGTACAGTCGGGAGCAAAAGTTTGCGGGGCACCGGAGCGCGTGCCGAAATGCATCGCCGCGCCGTGCAACGGCGCGCCGCCGCATTAAAAAGCCGCGCTTTGCGCATGCGCGCCCTTCGTGCTGGCAGTGATGTCTCTTTCGCTCGTTTTTTTCCGACTCACTCCTGATAACCGGAGTCGGCGCCAGGGGCGCAAGTTGCCGTTTCTCTGGCTGTCATGCCTATCGCCCTCTTCAGCCGCCACAGCAGCCGCGCTGGGTGACGGAGCGCCTGGTTAACCCCCTCACCTTCCCTACGCGAGCTCCGTGACAAAGCGCGGCAGCTGAAGCAGACGCCCAGCATGACAGCCAGCGAAGCGCTAACTCGCGCCCCTGGCGCCGACTCCTGTTATCAGGAGCACGTCGGAAAGAAACGAGCGAAAGAGGCGTGAATGCGAACACGAAAGGCGCGCATGCGCAAAGCGCGTCTCCTTAATGCGGCGTTGCGCCGTCGGACGGCGCGGCGATGCATTTCGGCACGCGCTCCCGTGCCCCGCAAACTTTTGCTCCCGACTGTACGTCGGCATAGCCAAAGTTATCTCCGAATGAACGCGTTTAAAAAATATTACCACAAATATTGCTAGCGGATGCTGCTTCAGAAAAACGGCACATTTCGAGTAAGCGCAAAACTACGCGTTACCTGCGAGCTGCGGTAACGCGTCCCTTTTGAGTCGCAGTAACCAGTGACGTGGTTTGTTACTTTTGATTGGGTAACGAGTAATGGCGTTTAGTTTCACTAACGTGTACGTGTCTGATACTAACGCATCGACGACCCCCTTCTCTGCCTTGCAGTTGGTTACACAATGAAAGACATCCGGTACCGGTGGTCGGACGGAGACACATCCGTCCGCATCGCCAAAGAAGTGGAGTTGCCGCAGTTCAAGGTCCTTGGACACGTCCAAAAAGCCAAAGAGGTTGCCCTCACGACAGGCAAGTTCAATCAGTCCTCCTCCGACACGCCGCCGCCGCCGCCGCCGCAGCCAATGTCCCTAGCACACGCACACGTCCCGATGACTCCCCTTTTTCTCCCCTCCGTGCCTTCCCTAGATTAGACGTGCGCGTTTCCATCTCTGTGTCTGTATGTGTGAGTCTGAGGAAATATGGGAGGGATTGGTGCTGGTCCGGTTCGCTCGCACAAACCCTGCACCTCCAAGGCGCCGTCTGTATCGATCTCGAGCTCGCCCGCTCGTCTTCGGCTGATTCCCACTTAAGCAGCCGGGAGGGCTCACCTTTGATGAGCTGAGCAAAAGGAATGGAGCGCTCTCTCGCCGAAACTCTGTTTCTCCTTACGACCCTTGTTCGTTTATATGTTTTTATTTTAGTTCATTCGCGTTTGTCGCCTGAGGCTATTTGGCTTCTTTGGGGGGGATAGGAGGGTGTTTGCATTGCAGACTCGCAAGACCTCGCCCGTCAGCGGAAGGAATAGTTGATGAAACAGAAACAAGGACGGCGCGGGGAACGTGGTATCTGACAGTTTCTCTCTACATGATATGGACTGGAGTGGGGTATCTGCTAAATCGAGTTCTGTCAAAAGAGGTTTATGTCGGAAACCAGCAAAGCGTATTTTCAACGTCGCTGGAGAGCTCTTTTGAAGTTGTCCGACTCTCGGGACCGTAATGCGGAATAATTTTACGGCGTCACGTTAGTGCCTTCAGATTCAACGTGGAGTTAGTAACGTAAGATTAAAAATAAGACTTAAAAAACTAGATTCGCTTTAGGAAAGACATTTATTGGGTGCATTCTACGACACGTAGGATGGTGATTATAGTCGCTGAGCGCTTCGGAAGCGCTAGACGTACTGCGTCCGGAGCATTCTATTGATTCCCATCGTTCAATAGCACCCAGAAATTAACCGAGAAGTGCACTGAAGAACAGATCACTGGGCTAAAAGACCTAACTTTTTTTTTAAGGTCAGCTACTGTAGTTTTTTTTTAACTAATGTTATGAAGCAGCGTCAGAAGAAATCGGCAGTCGCTCGGTTTATTTGTTTTTTTCCCCTGTGTTTTTATTCAAATGTGAAGTTGTTTTCCCCCGGCCCCTTCTTTTTTGTAGTGTAGTGAGCAGTCTTCTCAATGAAGCGGTGAAAGTATAACTTTTTTATAGCCCTCAAATGTATATTTGTAAGTTCCCTCTTCTATTTCGGTCACTGCGAGTCTAGCAGCCCCCCCCCCCCCCCCCCCCCCCCCCCGTGTCAAAGTATTATTGGCAAAACGTGTATTTGTGTTTCTTTAGGTGTGTCTGCATGCATCAAGTAGAAGGTGAACAACATTAAATAAGGATTTGATGCGTTTGTTTTGAAGACTGTTTCATATAGAGAGGGATGATTTATTAAACGTTTTTGGTAGGCATTTCTTAGTGTACGTGAACTTAATGTGTTATCGTACGAGTTACGAGAATGTTATTTTATTTTGTTACAAGGGGTTTGAAGTTGATATTGCCTTCTAATTTAAAAAAGCATATGAAGTTGTTGTTGTTTTTGTTTTCATAGTAAATCGGGATTTTAAAATCTTCAGGTTTTTGTGTGCAGGCCAGGTATGAACTAGATATACCGAGTGACGTCATGCTTGGGGCTGTTGGTGCATGCTAAAGTGGTTCAGAGCAGCTTCGAAAACAATTCTCTAGAAAGTCAACTTTGCCAAGTTAGAAGTTTCTGCTTCTAAAGTTTGTGCAGTCACTGCAAGTTCTGCAGTTTCGTCAAGAAACTAACATCTATTAGTGAAACGTTACCTGTCAGTATTGAGCGCGGTTATTTGTCTGAAATTCTTTGAGGCGTTCTTTCTTCCATTTGCTCTTTCCAGCTTCCGGTGGTTTTACGCTGACTTGAGGTCTACTTCAAAAGAAAGTAATATAATTTCGATGCGTGCTTTTCTTTCCAAAATTAGACAAACTAGAGGTATAGTGACGCCTTACTGTACGGTGGCAAAGCTTTGGATAAATGTAACGATCCAAAAATATTAAGAAAAAAATACACCTCAGAAATAACAAGAAGCCGTTGATGGGTCTGCGTAACGCTTTAGAAGCAGTACAGTTAACTGTGTGGACAAGAGTGCCCATTTAATTAGCAACTTTGCTGACGCATGAAAACAAACTGACGGAGTACAGCTGGAGTAACTTCAACCCTAATGGAAGTTTACTAGCGCACTTACTATTTAATCTATTTACCAAAATGCTTCTGAAGACCAGGAGCGTAAATATAGCCATTAATGTTTGCTGGTATCATCTCTGCACTTTGGAGTTGCAGGGCGAGTGCGAGCTGCTGAATATAACAAATTCTAGAGTCCACAAATCCATTTGTGTTCACGAACGCTTAGAGTATCGTCAACAGCAACTTTCAGGTCACATGAGTAGAAGGGCTTTGGGGAAGCCAGAGCATAAAGGTCAAAAGCGAATTGGTGCCTGAAACATGGTAGTTAAGTTGAAAGAGGAGGAGGGGTGCAGATCAGTCATTACTAATCCATCAAGCGTCCCAGTTAGGACTGCATCTCTCCCTCCAGGTAATGTGGTCACTTGATAATTGGCTCTTAAAGTATATCTACAAAATGGATTGCCCTCAGCAAACTCAGCAGCAAACACCTATTCGGGGTGTCTCTAGTGCTCCGCGCTGTTTTGAGGTGTGCATGCGTATTGCTGTTGAAGATGTCCGAACGGAAGTTTTTCGGGCGAACTTACAGTTGCGTATTAGTAGTACCCGCTGAATGTACCGACGAAAACCAGTAAAAGGCAGCACTCGCCATCTAGAGAAAAAAACAACAACAACAAAAAAATGCATGTATCGTTGTCCGCTTCTAGGGCAACTCAACATTTCGAAGCTGAACTTCCAAGCATGTTTGTTCATCTCAGGTGGTGCCTTTCAGCACCTGAACGTCGCGCATCTCATTGGAAGCGCGGTTCTTTCGGCTCAATCGTGCAAACAACTATCACTGTCCAGTAGTTTGCGTCCTTGAGAAGTGGCGGGAGCCTTTGCATGCCACGACCAGTAAAACATGGTTTCCCGCCCTTTTCCTTTCCCGTCCTCTTCCACTCCCTTTGTTGTGTGTAGGAAACTACTCCCGACTGGTGTGCGAAATTCGGTTCGTCCGATCCATGGGTTATTACCTCATCCAGATCTACATCCCTGCCAGTTTGATCGTGGTTATTTCGTGGGTGTCCTTTTGGCTCCACCGTAATGCCACGCCGGCTCGCGTGTCTCTGGGCGTCACCACCGTGCTCACGATGACCACACTCATGTCCAGTACCAACGCAGCCCTGCCTAAAATTTCATACGTCAAGAGTATTGACATCTACCTGGGGACATGTTTCGTAATGGTGTTTGCTTCGCTCCTGGAGTACGCCGCGGTAGGATATCTTGGCAAGAGAATCGCCATGAGAAAAGCTCGCTGTCAACAGCTGGCAAAGCTGGCCGAAGAACACAGACAAAAGCGCATTGCGGCCTCCACCGGCGAGCCCGGTTCAGAACCCTTGCTAGCCAGCCCCGAGGTCCCGGTGGTCAAGACGGTCGTAAGTACACGCCTCCTATATTTTCCCTTTCTCTCCGTCCCCGTGTGGTGCTCTCACGTTTAACCTGGTACTATGCCCTGCAAAGACGTCCACAGCGCTCCGTTTCTCAGTATCAATCCACCCAACCCTACCCTGTGCTTTGTTTGTGTCGTGTTGCTCGACCTGTGACATGTCCTTGCCATTTACGTCATCTCTCTACTCTCGCTCTATTCTGCTTTCCTAAGAGGCCATATCTTTTGGTCCTTGGTTGCTTACTCCTAAAGGTAAGTGGATTCAATCCTATCTTACTACTTACGATCTGTTTGGTTGCCATTTTGCGTTGGCATGGAATCACTTCTGATAGCGGACGCCTTTCTGCAGTAACCGTAAGTGACCCTTGCTTTGATTGTGCCAAGCTGTTTGTATGTTTGATGTTCGCGCAACCGCATCGTCAAGCACGGAATCGTGTTTTACTGGTTCGCCCGTTAGGTTGACTCCTCTGTCTCTTAGGATAAAAGCATTGAATTGTGATCTCGAAATCATGATTGTGAAGACTAGAATCGAATGCGAATCTTCCCTCTGTTCTTTCACCTACCGCTGGAGCGATTGAGCCGAAGGAAATCTGTAAGAGTTTGATTTCTCACCCGCTAGCGCAATTGTCTTGCACAAGGCACAAAAGTATCGTTGCGCGGATTCCAACCAGCCTTGTATGGACTTTGTGCTCGCCAACTCAAATTCGAGCTTTCGGTGCTAGCACGTTGGCGGTGTCAGTGGAAAAGAGCTCAATGCGTGTCTTCTCCCATCCCAATATTCCGCGAACCCATCCTCCCATGTACGTTCTCAAGCGTTCTTTATTCAACGTCATACAAATATCCATCATCTTCGTTTTGATAAGGGACGTTGTTGGTACGGCTCAAAACTCACAAATATTATTTTTTAATGATTATATTCCGCGATGATTCAGTGAGCAGCGCGCTCAAAGATGTATTCCGCTGTCATATTATTATCTTGGTTTTGGAGTTTGCACTTCTGTATAGCACCATATGATAAAATGTTAAATTAACTCGCTTGTGAAAACGTGATAACTTGCTATTTGCCCGCTCTTATTCACAATCCCGACACACCACGACAGATACTAAAGACGTAAAAACCCATTCTGCAGATTACTTACACTGTTGTTGTTTTCTTCATTATCGAGGTACTTGGACCACCCTTGACACGATAGTGCATGACGTCTTCTGCCTGTTGCACGGCACTTACGGCGCTCTTTTTCAGGCAGTGTCACTCGTGCTTGCGGTCGAGTCCTGTGGTTGATCTCTGGTTCCGTGTTCCTCCACTCGTAGGAAACTACTCCCGCTTGGTTTGTGAGATACGGTTCGTACGTTCCATGGGCTATTACCTGATCCAGATGTACATCCCAGCCGGACTCATCGTCGTTACCTCCTGGGTGTCCTTTTGGCTTCACCGTAATGCTAGTCCTGCCCGTGTGGCGCTGGGTGTCCTCACAGTGCTCACGATGACGACGCTCATGTCCAGCACCAACGCAGCGCTACCTAAAATCTCGTACGTGAAGAGCATAGACATCTACCTCGGGACCTGTTTCGTGATGGTGTTTGCCGCCCTCCTGGAATACGCCACGGTGGGATATCTCGGCAAGAGAATCTCCATGAAGAAGGCAGAAATTCAACAGCCTGCCAAACCGGCACAAGAAATTAGACCGAGTGAACTTTTGGGGAGACCAGCTACAGAACCTGCTTCGGAGCCTGCCCCGGTCAGTCCAGAAGAGCCGGTTGTCAATATGGTCGTAAGTACATCTCGCCTCGATGGTTGTCAGTCTATTGTCTCACATGTTAGAGTCAACCTTGGTTTCTTTTTCTGTCTCTTCTGTGACTTCATTGCCTGCACATCTATTTTGTCCTTCGAGGAGGAGACGTATCATTGCCCTGTTACTTCGCCGTTTTTATCCCGGTAACTCGTTTTTAGCTTTATACGTGTGCTCCTCCCTGTGCCACCTTCTTCTGGGGTCCCTCTGGACAACACGTCAACAACCAGGTTTGAAGTTTGGTTTTATTTACTTTCTTGCCGGGCTGTTCTACTTAATCTGCATGTGCCGTTTGCTTTGTACCTCCTAATTCAAGGATCCAACTGGACTCGTCGGCAGTTCAAGGTAAAGTGTACCAGCGTAGGAACCGTGGGCATCATCACAAACACATGAAAGGCAAAAATTCAGAGGCAGAGGCTGCGAGCGTATTACAGCGCTAAACGAATTCAAGCATCTTTGCCGTGGGCGGGCAATTTCGCCTGCTCGCTAAGACGCAATTCTGTGGCACTTCCAGTTTCCGCGTCTTGAGTTTGCGGACAGGCGACATTGCTTGATCCAATTGGACGTGAGTGGAGATCAAAGAGACTGCGCCGCCCTACAAATAACCACGATTCCGGGTAGGATGTCCCAGACCCCAATGCCGCCGACGGCGGGAAAGGAAACTCAATTACCCGATCTGTTCCGTCTAAAAAAATAAAGTGAAACTGAGGGGCCAGAGCTCCGCGCAACTTCATATTTCATTCGGCAAGCTTTCATGTCGAGATAGCATACATAGTCTTCAATCCCCTTCCGTGTTGATGTAGCGCTGTCGCGAGTTCATCTAGCGCTGTCGCGAGTTCATCATTCCCTACAGTTCATAACCGCGTTTGTTCGAACTGAAATTTGTGCCGTTTCCTTTGGTTGGTTCGACCCACTCTTGTGTTTTCCGGCGTGGTGTGTGGTATGCAAAAGCTCCCTTCTCTCCCGTTACTCGCCAGCCTGATTCTTGCTACGCTCATTGCCAGCCCCGAAGCGGCTCTAGTAAAAAGCTTACTACTAACCAGCCGCGGTGTTTCAGGTTAACAAAACTTCAGCGTCATTGCTGCTGCCTGTGTGCCTGCTCAAGTTTGCCGAGTGCTGCCTTGCGCTGAGTGCGTAAATTAGGCGTAGAACACCAGTGGGGTAGGGTTACGCGGTCCTCCAGTGCACCTTGCATGCATCGCCTGTGACGATTCGCGACAACATGTCACCAAATGTGACCCTCAGGCTGCGGCGGTTGGAACTACAACCCAGCTACTCTGTGGCTAAGCGCTCTCTCCTTTTTTTTTTCTTCTTGTCCTCCTTCAGGAAACTACTCTCGCCTGGTTTGTGAAATACGGTTCGCCCGCTCCATGGGCTACTACCTGATCCAGATCTACATCCCGGCCGGCTTGATCGTGGTTATTTCCTGGGTCTCCTTTTGGCTCCACCGTAACGCTAGTCCAGCTCGCGTAGCACTCGGCGTCACCACCGTGCTTACGATGACAACACTCATGTCCAGTACCAACGCAGCCCTACCTAAAATCTCATACGTCAAGAGTATCGACGTCTACCTGGGGACTTGTTTCGTAATGGTGTTTACCGCGCTTCTGGAATACGCCACGGTAGGATATCTCGGCAAGAGAATCACCATGAGGAAAACCCGCTGTCAGCAGCTGGCTAAACTCGCAGAGCAACACAGGCAGAGGTGCGCTGCCGCCTCCAACGAGCCGAGCTCAGAGCCCTTGCTAGCCAGTCCTGAAGTATCCATAGTCAAGACGGTCGTAAGTTCAACCCTTTCTTCATTCTTTTCTTTGCGCTCTGCGGGATGCGTTTCTCTTGTTTCTTTCTTTCTATCTCTGTATAAAATTATCTTATTTATCGCTCTTGCCTACGCCTGTCTCTGCCTCTTTATGCTCGAAGCCTAATGATATGAAGTGAGACAGCCTTGAGGTATCCTGATGACGTGAACTGTTCCAGACTATCTAAGGAAGTGAAAGGGAAGCTTTGTTATGAATAGATGACACCCCTTGATGTCATTAGGATGAGGTAGCTTCTATTTGATGTCATTGGAAGATAAAGAAATCAGCTGAAGTTTTTTCAGTAATGTTATTTACCTTTCTTCCTTTATATGACCTACTGTGTCCTCCAATGACTATTAAGTTTGAGGATTAAGCGTTCCGATCGCATTAAGGCAGATTATAATAAAATATCGTGGCCGATTGCTTTTGGGTATTGATATTGTCGTGTCTTTATTGAAGGAATTTGTAGAGGTGATTAGAAGTTGCAATTTTTTATTGAATTTGTATCATGATCAAATATTAGTCTTGAAAAAAGATATGTTGCTGTTGTGGTTCAACGTAGTGACCGTTGGTTTTAAGTAAACACTCTTAGTAGAATGTAGCATATCCTAATTGCACTCACACTTTACTAGCCCAACCACGTCTGCTACGCAGACGTGTGATTCAGGCCAATTTACATTACAGTCTCTTGGCGGTTTCACGCAACAAAGTAGCAACTGTAAGTGCTGACTCACTTCACATCACGGTACACTTATGCTTTATTTTGTTTTCCTGGAGCATGCCCACATTTGGAATCATAAGCAAACACTTATTTTGAAAAAAGAAACATCGGGACAGCGTCGAGCACATGCTTTGGTAGAGGCACATCAACCATGGTAAGATAAAAAAAAAAAAAAGAGTTGCACGACGTTATAGGAGACACGTCATGGGACGTCTTTGCAGTGCCGTTCTGATTCTTGCATCGACTCTTTTTTTTCTTTCTCAGTTTGTTTTGAGAGCACTTTTTCTGCAGCTTTCTAAAAGCACCAACATCACGTACGGGCATTCATTTGTGTGTCTTCGTGTGTCCGGTTCAAATCCCTGTGGTCTATGCCGACTTAGGGGTCCTCACTTATGCTTAGATTAGGACTGGATGTAATCTTTTTGTGTTTGCAATCCAACTTCGAAGAATCACTTCAGAAATGTAAACTACTAAAGAGGAACTTCCTTTTTCCAGATAAGCTGGTAAGCCGCAAAAGAAATCTATTTAAAATTGAATGAAGCCTGGTCTGGCCGAGTTTTCGGTGCTCCTTAAATTCCTCGTCAGTTTTCACGGAACGCCGAACCTTAAGGAAAATACAATTTCCTTTCGGAAAGCTTTGCGCGGAGATTATGTTTTACTTTCATGTACTTGGGACTCCGGTTTCTAAAGCAAATTGGGTCTAAAAACCTTAGTAAAATAAACACGAAAAAACACGGCTCATTCCGATTTTTAGAAAGAATGTAAAAAGAATAAAACATTATAGAGCCTGAAACATATCACCTATGGTTTGCCAGGTTGGTGGGTTTTTACCTACCAAACCTTAGTTCTTGGAGATCCAAGTTTCCTACGTACATCTTCTTAAGCAATGATTGCCGCTGTAAGACATCGGTGGAATATACTGCACAATGTGCATTACATTTGACGCGGTGCCCGTATTTCTCCAGGCGGTAGAAACGATTGAGTTATCAGAAAGTACTTTGTATTCAGCACCTTTGTGTCTCGCGTTCGATGCGGGTCATTGTGTTTCAGGCTCGGCAATATTCCTACAGATCCACACGACAAGGCTTCGTTCTCTTTGCCTTCTTAGTACCTGTTACGATTATGATTTATATGCTTTGTGAGTGCTCACGCAAGCCTTCTGCACCACCACTCCCGCTTCCTTCACCGCGCCAAACCACTGTTTTTTTTTTTTTTTTTCCTGTAGGCAAAACTGTATGAAGTTTATCTCGCAAGCCGTACTGCATGAATTATGCGTACATCTTGTAAAAGCATAGCTTTCAAACATTATAAACAGCCTAACAGTCTCTAGTGCGTACAGCGATTAGTTGTCAATGTTTTCCCAATATCGAAATAACTATGCGCGCCGGTGCGCTTGTTACATACTACAGTACAATCTTCATAATTTGGTTCCTCGATGCACAAAGTAGGCTTCCGGAAATATACAACTGCTGGTGAAGACCATCGCATTCTTCTCAAAAATAAAGCTAGCATGTTTTGATGATGGACACAAAAAACCTAATATTTTTTATGAAATATTTATCATTGTGAACTAAAGATAAGGAGCTATTAACAAGTAAAATCAGTTTGTTAAGCAGATTCGTTTTAATGTATAATAAGTATGAATCTTTACACCGAGCAGTTTCCAGACCTTTGTGAAATCGTTCATATCGCACAGGCAGAATATCGGAGAGTCACATGCAGGAAGATACAGCATTTTGTTTGCTGCTATTCAATAAATTTACAATCTTAACAAGCGAACATAGTAAACAGGCTACTCATTAGACGCAGAAACGAGGGCGGGTTAAATATGTCATGCTAAGGTCTGACTTCCTGTAGTAAAACAAACAAAAACAAAAAACACGCGCTGAGTTCATTGGGGCTCTAAAGAGTGTAAATAAAATTGAACTAATGTTTAGGAGATTGTCTTTTCCTAGCGATAACTAGATCTCTCTGGTCTAAGTGGCCTAAGTTACATTACGTGCTTCCAGCCATGTTATATTTTGCAGATAGCACGTGAACATGGACCGCAATATTTTTGTAAGAAGATTGTGAGTGCGCAGGCGAGCTGGTGGTAACCAATCATGTCATTTAACACCTAGAGCCTGTGGTGCAGAAAAGAAAAACCTTTTAGTCAAAGGAACAAACAGATCTGTTGCTTCTACTAAAGAGTTTTCCTTCTCTGCACCATAGCTCAGGTGTTAAATGACATAATTATATTTCCGTACTGCGTTTAACATAATTGGGAATAACGCACACAGGCTAAATACGCAAGCAATATTAAATTTAGACGAAGTAATGAGAGTTTTTATTCTATTATCATTTGTTTGTCATCAACTCTGCTTTCACACTGCATTCACCAGTCACGCCTGCCAGAGCACTTCATTGGCATTGTTGTTTTCTACACACCTTGCATTGCACCTGCTAGAGAAGGCTTGAAAGCAATCCACCATAAGCTATTGCGAAATCTGTCATAACTTATATGCTGACGATTTGAACATTGTGTAAAGTGATTCTAGACATACCTGACCGGATTAAACTCACTTTATTTTACATGTGATAGTTGGGAATTGCAGTATACATAGTAGGCAATAACAAAATCCAGATATTACAGGTCTCCATTCTGCTGCAAGGCTCTGTAGCACTGGAAACATTAAAAAAGTATACGCTACACTACAGCAAAGTATCTAGATTGCTTTCTCGCAAAACAGTGTAAAACATTCTACTGTAGGGTTTTGACACTCTCACTGAACAGTTTTTTTTCATGCAAAATCTGCTTTCTTATTTTCACAATAGATTGCTGCGAACGTTTAGGGCATTCATCAAAACAAAATGGCAAGACAAATCTTCAGATGATCTGTTATAGTAGCAGTCAGGTCTTGAAGAGCAGCAAATAGCACGATGTTCACTAGTCATTTTGAGCTTGAATCATCGACGTTGATGAAAATCGCTTTAGGTTTAAAACACACTAAAATTAAGACACCACCTGCGCGAAAGTTTGATCATTCGTTTTGAATACGAGATAATTATAAACAAGCAACGGAACTGTTAATTACACTGTGCGAAAACAAAACGAAGTTTTGGTCGAATTCCAAGCCCATCAGCCGTGATTTCAGCATATACACTAAGAATCCCAAGACAAATATTTTCAATCAAAACCACCAAGGCCACTCGTCACATGCAAAATTAACTTTTTCACCTGACGTATGGCATCTAAACGAGACGCCCTAGTGGTCATTTTTTCTGTTAGTGCATATAAACACTTCAATGTACACTCGTCCGGGTCTCACCGCAAGGCGTCTTGCTGCGCCTTGGTATGGTTAGAAGCTAGAGCCGTCGTTATCTCGCTCAAACCATCTTCCATCTTCCCATGTCAAGGTAAAATATCCAGATTGTATACGCTTTACACAAGAATCCGTATTTCTCACGATGGCAGTGTGTCCAAACCCGAATTTTGTATATCTGGATAATGTATTACTTGCCTAAGTTCGTCCGCTAGCTTCGTCAACAAAAACAGCCGTAAACATTCACTGCGTCGGAACCTCCGCTCACCACGGCGTTAGCAGGAACCAACTTTTAAATATGTATAATCATGTCAAAAGCGGTCCGTTATCCGAGGATTGGAGGAAGCAGAAGGTTTGCTGATGCATGCGTAAACAAAAAAACACACGATGCAAGACCCCGTCGCCGATCCTTGTGGGCGCCGACGATTTTCAGGGTTCCTGTCAAGTTTGTCCTGCTGCGGTGGCATCCCAAGGTCAACCGAGGGAAGCACCACCAACCGGATTTACGATGGTGAGTTGCGACGCCATTGGGGAGCTTTAGGGAACCGTTCCGACTGTTCCGATAGCGATAACCGGTACACTGCCAGCGCCTTTGAGTAGGCATCGTGCCGTTATGGACTATCATTATCGGAGTTATTGGAACCATATACTAAAACTCTCTAATAGTGGCAGGCTTCGAATCGAAGCGAACGTTAGACGTAGGTTGATGGCAAGGACAAGTGGATGGCAAGGGTGTGGCTTCTGCTGTCCATATTCATTGTGGCTGGCTGCGATGCACAATGGCGATGGTCTTTTTCCACTAATACATTCTTTTTATTTTCTTTCTTTTGCTGCTGCTGCTACTGAATCCGGCGTGCGTGCTTAAAGCTTAGCTTTCTTGGCCCTTGCTTTCGGTGTGCACATGCTCCGCTGATGAGATTCGGTTGGAAACCGCTGACCTTAGATTTATTTGAGTTCGGCTAACTTAGAACGGTGCAGTAGCCTGACGAAGTGCTATCTTGTGGTGTTTTGACTCGGCGAAGGTATAGAGAAACTTGTCTATTTGCCTGAAGCTCGTACATACTAAACTGTACAGCCGTCTCTTTGTTCCAGAATGAAAGCCCAAGCGATTCGTAATAACTTAAACCTTGATGCTTGTCTGGGTTCAGGCTCGAATAATTTTATCGAGAGTTCTACAGGGTAGCCAACCCCAAAAGTTTTTTAACCTTACATTGGTTGCCGCCTGCCTAAATTCTAATGTTCCGCAGGAGCATCGCCATGTCTGAGGATAAAAAAAAAACAAAAAAAAAAAAACAGCACATATGTGTCAACTCTGCCCGGAGACACTAGAAAGGCGTGACCCCAAAATTATTATTTATTGTCAAGTGTCCGAGAATTTTTTTTTTTTTTTACATTTTGATTTTATTAATTATTTTCAGCTGAAACTTCTCAAAGGCGAATTTAAATGGAATTTTGGGTACTTTTTCAAAAAGATTGTCAGTAGCGTGAATTTAACGTTTGCCTGGTAAACGTTTTTAGCCATGTTCATTTTAAAGTAATGCACCACTAAGTAGACATCCAAGTGTTGTGACATTTTAAAATGTGTAAATAAACACAAATCTAGATTTTATGCGACTGCTTGATGGCTAAACAACATGATAACTTGTTCATACCTCTATTGTCTAGCGGTATAATTTGTGTTCTAAAACTTGCAGATGAGTTGCTTAAATAAAAAAGAAATACTCTAAATAGCATTGTTGAATACACAAAACTCTCGCTCGTCATTCGGTTAAAAAAATAAAGGTTGTATTTAGTGCAACGCCGCGCAGGTCAAAATTATACTTGGGTGATTTCAGATAAGATCGACCAAAGGATGGCTAGTCGACATTTTCAAATCAACTGATGTTTTTATATGTTATTGTCTAGTGTCTGGTATGAACGAATTCAAACTTAGTTTTGACTAGAAAAAATACTTGGGGACAGGAAAAATCGTAAGGCATGAGGTGGTGGACAGTTGCATTAACGCGCACTGATGGAGGGGGCCCGTTTGAGAGTGAATAACTAAAGCGATAACATTAGGAGAACTCTAATACGTTTTAGGCGCAAACTATGGGTATAGCTTGCTTGTAATATAAAGTAATCATATTTATTTAAAATTTATTTATTTTTCTAAAAATTGACAAACATGCCTGCTCGAACGACAAATGGCAAAATTTGGAGGTCTGTATCTCATGAAATAATTTAATCATTATGATATAATTTGCAGATATTATTCTACTAATATATAGCTAATATTTAAAAAATAACTAAGGTATCTGTGTGATACAATAGTTAGGATATATTAAGTCAAACATGGAAAAAAATCAAACAAAGAAACATTCCGATGCGAATAAAAAAAAAACACCACCCTCGATTTTTTTTAAATTTAGGTAACCTATTATACTCTATTTCGGCATTCATTTCCATTAAAAACATGTTGCATCATTTTATTGAGAAAGAAGATACAACTCCCCAAAGTAGGGTCCTTTTTCAAAGCCTACACTTAGCAGTGTTTTATACAAGAACTGACTCTGAGTTCCAGTTTCATGGAACCAACACACATCTTTTATATATTTTTATTCAGATGAGGCCAATGATAACTAAAGAAACCGTTCACAAACTTAAATTAAGGAGAAACTACTGTGTACAAAGAGGTATCATATTACGGACTAGTGATCCGAGAAAAGATCATGCAGCCATCGGCCACTAGGAACTTTGTTTACTTTATTCTCCTGCGACACTATATGCTATTCCCTCTTCCGCTCTACCTTCATCTCTCTCTCTCTCTCTCTCTCATATATATCCCTGATATATATCCAGAACAAAAACATGTTTAAGCATTTCCTTTCTGCGTGGTAGTGTTCTGTGGCTAGCAAAAATCATTTCCTCGCTAAGCTCACGATTATGGCAAAATAGTTGCCGGAAACCGCAGACGACACTCGTCGCTAGTTCTGGCAAAACGGCCGATACAATCTTTTTTTCGCATTTCCCCGCTCGCTGTCAAGGACAAGGGGGTTCGCTTCAACCAGCAAAACATGGCCGCCGACGCCTGTTTACTGAGCAGTCATGCCTGTCGCCATCTCACTCGCTGGCGTCACGGGCGATAATATCAGGCACAAAGGGGCACACCAACCGGCAGCATTATCCCCAAATACTCGAGCCTCGCGTAAATACATAGAGTGTAAACGCTGTCGCCATGTTATTGTAGTAAGACCGCCCCCCCCCCCCCTCCCCCAACGGGGGACTGCAGTACGCGACGGCGTACTAACACAACGGCGACGATATCGACATCGCGGGCTCCGAATTTTCCCATAGTTCTACTCCACGGGCATTTCTCGAAACGCTTGATATTGTGTACGCCCGCCTGGAAGGATTTCAGGCGCGTAGTTAAGATAAGGCGGTTCTCCGCGGCAAAAGAAAGCAATTTCACAAAAGCTTAAAAGCGCCGGCGACGCGTGTGCGGTGAACGCTTGTAGTTTTGGTGTAGACAGGGTGTGTGTGTTCTCGTTGTTGACACCAGCCGGCGATAAGGCACTGCAGGCGGTAGCTCAGTACAGCAAGGGCTAATCCGAGTGACCATCAACGTAACCCCACCGCCAACCCCTCGCGAACCGGTCGCCGACATGGCTCAGGCTGTGTCATGAACCACGTGGTAGAAGCTCGGGTGCTTTCATATCAGCGCGTGGAGGGACGACAGTGCGATTCCGGAAAGTCTTTTTCGAAGGCCGCTGACCACAATTTTTTGTCTGGAGACTTTCCCTCTTTCTTCCTTTGACGTGGATCAAGCTTTGCCGACAGCCTCAGTTGTGACCTCTCTTTTCAAATGTACGTTTGCAGTGAGTGAGCTCCTCAGCCTCGGACTTGTCACTTGTGCACCCAGTAGTTCTTTCACCTGGCAATTATATGCCATCAGTTGGGGTTTAATTTCTATTATTTATATATACATTATGAAGATGTCCTGGAGCTCCGAACGAGTGTTTTGTGCAGATTACTTTTGCAAACACAAAAAGACTATACCAAAGCAGCGGAATTTTCGAAGTGTTGGCGAGTTGGACCTAAACTCGTTGAAGCAAATTCTTCCGCCTGACTGTTCCACCAAAGTGAGTGCGACGGACTACCTGTGCTACCATTGCTTCATGCACATCACTAAGGATATCTCGATGCGAAGCTCAGAGCAGTGCCCTGACATATTTGTGCCAGCTGAAGAAGCAATTGAAGATCTAAATCGCAGCATACTACCTACAGATGTGTCGCCGCTGAGACAACCAAGCATCGTAAGAAGTCGGGACAGGCCTGCCTATGTCAAGAGAAAGCAGACAGAACTGGAGCAGGTTGCTGTCAAGAATATACGCTCAAGGCTACGTATTGCGTACGACAGGGACGCACCATCGGGGTCGTCCGAACCAACATGCTCCACATGCACTGAGTGGGTGGACAACTTTCGGCAGGCCTTTGAAACCGCCACCTCTCTCCGGGAACGTTGTCAACTGCTTACACTCCTGCCGTCAACACTGACGAAGAATGAGGTTCAAAAGATGATTCCACAGGCCTCAATGTACCTTATCAGTAAATCCCGAAAACTCAAGGAAAAGCATGGCGTGTGGTATGAGCCGGATCCTTACACGAGGTGCAAGGTGAGCCCTGAGAACCTGTCTGCTGCCCTAGAGTACTTCACGAAAGACGAGCTACAATGTTCGCGCCAAAGTCCCAACCAGAAGGACGTCATCTCTGTCATGCTCAACGGAGAGAAAACGTTCGTGCCAAAGCGCTTCATGACACGCTCAATACGAGAGGCCTTCCGTATATACAAAGACAAGCATCCCGATTCCGGCGTTGGGCTAACGAAATTTTATTCGTTGCGCCCTAGATGGGTCCAATGTATTCCACACCAGGAAGTGTGCGTTTGTGTGCGCTGCGCCAATTATTATCTTTGTATTGCCGCTCTAGAGAACGTTACAGGCTCAACATTCAACACTGGTGAAATGAACTCGGCATTTCTGTGCGACCCAGCAACAGAACTGTGCCTTCACGGAGACTGTGATCACTGCCCAAAAGGCCAGTTTCTTACACTCCAGGAACTTGATATCCCGGAGGATGAAGAGATTGTGCTTGCAACATGGGAGTCCGGCGACCTTGTGAAAAAAACTTTGGAACCTGAGACTTTCCTAAAAGTCATCCAAGTGACGGTTGGAAGTTGGGTACTTCACAACCATATCCGGCAAACGCAAGGTAAAGCGATCTACGATGAAAAACAGTGCATGCAACGCGGGAGCATTGTCTTTCATTTTGACTTTGCTGAAAACTGGACCATCGTGCTTCCTGACGAAGTGCAAGCATATCACTGAAAAAAAAAAAACAAGTTTCGATATTTACATGCGTAGTGACGACAAGAAAATCTACAAACAGCTTTGCCATCATCAGTGAGGACCTGTGTCACGACGCCGCTCACGCTTGCTTAGCTCTAGAAAAAGTGAAGGAGTGGGTTGAAGACAACGTTGCGGTATACTCGTACGTGACGTACGTAAGTGACGGCGCCGCCAGTCATTTCAAGAATCGCTACCAGCTTCACCAATTTGCAAAGGACGATTGCCCACAAGCCCAGTGGTTATTTTCTGCATCTGGACATGGGAAAAATGCATGTGACGGAGTTGGCGGACTCGTGAAGCACCAGGCCACGCTGAACAACCTGAGAGAACGTTCAGTAAGCGCAATTCAGACGGCCAGGACAATGGTGAGCGTTCTATCAAAGAAACTGAAAGGCGTGCATCTTGTATATCTGGACGAAAATGAGGTTATTCGGTATCGTGAACAAAAAAAAGAAGAGTGGCTGACGGTGCGCGCCTTCCCTGGCATTCAGTCTTGGCACGCGTGGCGGCTCAGCAAGTCATCAACAGAAGGGACCTGTGACGTATATGTAGCACGGACAGTCGGATCTGCTTGGAAGCAACTTTATTAAATGGGTACAGCGAGGAAAACCTTAGCGTAAAGTGCCGAATTTGATTTCCCAAGGACTGCTCATTTTGAATGCAGGGACATCTTATTTATCACATTTTTCTTCACGGGGTATTTAACCTACTGTTTTTGTTGGTGGTTACTAATAATTTTTATCTGATCACTATAAAAAAAATCCCAAAATGTTATCCTCGAGCAGGATAAAATATATCGGCTTGCCACGATTCATTCATACACCGAGAGCATCGAAGCTGCTCCGGTTAGGCACTATGGCATCCGTCACCTGAAATTGTTTGTAATCGTAAATACACAGCCAACCTAAATATCTTACTATTATATCTTTGTTTTTGTGTGTGGAAGTAAAGTTATTTATTTTACTCTAGATGTAAAATATACCGGAAGGTACAACTTCACACTGCATCATCTTTTCTCAAATCATTAGTCTCTAATATGATACCACTTTGTACGCTTATGTAAAATGCTGTATATAGTTTCTCCTCCCTTTTACTGTGTGACCGATCGCTCTTTTTATCAATGACCTCATCTGAATAAATGTATATAAAAGATTTGTGCAAGTTTCATGAAACTGGAACTCAGAGTCACTTCTTGTATAGGACACTGCTAAGTGTAGGCTTTGAAAAAGGACCCTACTTTGGGGAGTTGTTTCTTCTTTCACAGTGCAATGATGCAACATGTTTTTAATAGAAATGAATGCCGAAATAGAGTATAACAGGGTACCCAAATTTAAAAAAAATCGAAGGTGGTGTTTTTTTTTTATTCGCATTGGAATTTTTCTTTGTTTGATTTTTTTCCCATGTTTGCCTAAATATATTGTAACTATTGTGTCACTCAGATACCTTATTTATTTTTTCAATAATAGTCATATATTAGTAAAATAATGTCTGCAAGTTATGTAATAATGATTAAATTATTTCATGAGATACAGATTTCCAAAGTTTGCCATTTGTCGTTCGAGCAGGCATGTTTGGCAATTTTTAGAAAACTAAATAAATTTTTAATAAATATTATTACTTTATATTACAAGCAAGGTGTACCCATAGTTTGTTTGTAAAAAGTTTTGAAATTCGCCTAATTTTATTGTTTTAATTATTCACTTTCAAACTTTCCCCCTCCATCAGTGCGCGTTATTGCGACTGTCCACCTCTCCCGGCCTTACGATTTCTCTTGTCTCCAAATTTTTTTTCTGGTCAAAACTAAGTGTGGATTCGTTTATACCAGACACTAGGCAATGTCATATAAAAACATCAGTTGATTTAAAAATGTCGACCAGCCACCCTTTGGTCGATCTTATCTGAAATCACCCACTTATAGTTAGTTTCAGTCATTGAGCCTTTTCCGATGAGGTGAAAAAATATATACTTTTTAATGTCTTCGCGAGTTTCTCGTTCATGAGCGTCTACTTAGCGAACCGGTTCGACCTCCCAGTAAGAGCGAAAGCTGGCTGTCGATGCTGGTTCCAGAAGAATCGCACTGATGGCGTCTGTTGTGCCGGTGTCTTTCGTTTTCAGGTTCGCCGAGGCGCGGACCAATGTTGCCCTGGTCTACAGGGCTCATGCCAAGTCTGTCCTGCTGCCGTTGCCTCACAAGCTCAGCAGCAGGCCCCTCCCCCTGGAATACCTATGGTGCGTCTCGCTCTCCTCAGATGGACTCCGGTACTTGGGCCAATGCCATGTAGAAGATAAGGCCTGCCCGTGACGTCATCATCCGTAGGCCCCGACACGCCCTACCCGCAAACACGCCACAAAGCGGGAGACTCGTCCGTCTTGGTGTAGCCACGTGCTAGTGGTGCACTTGTGGTGAGACACTACACGACGCGCTGTCGACTATGCTTACGTAAGCGTGGCGGCTCTGTGGGGGGGAGTCTACTAGCGGTGACGTTTGGGGAAGAAAAGTGCGGGCCTTATCTTCTATGTCTTATTGCTTACGCTCGCGGCCACTCACTCGAAGGAACTGGCGAATTATACGGGAGACAGCGGGATAACTAGGCGGGCTCCTGGAGATATATGCCTAGGGAATCAGTGTTTACTGCCATGGTAATGCCGCTGGGTCATTGCTGTGGTGGGCCTATACGGTCTGTGGGTCGTTAGACACGGCGTGTGGAGCAGAGCGCCAATCGGGAAGAAAGTATTCGCTGTAAAAAAGGACATACACGTTGATATCCTGCGGCTAGAGTATCAGTTAAATGTTCTCATTTCGTCAAACCTGTTGGCTTATTTTTTAGAGGATTGATGTGAAAGTAGGTGGAATTAATGAAGATTCTCACGATTCCTGGTGTTGAAAAAAAGGGGAAACCTAAAGAGGGAATAAAAATGAAAGACGTTTACAACACCCTGCAACGCCGAATCAGAGCGCAGCTCTTAAGGAGGCGGAGGGGAGGGTACTGAGGGGAGGGTATACCCCTCCTCCCTCCTCCTCCTCCTTCACCTCCTTCTTCCTCCCCGCGCGGTACATCATGGGAAATGTCCCATAATGCACCGCACGGCTATGCCGACGGTGACGGCGACGCCGACGCCTCTCAAGCCGGAAACGGGCGCCAGAGAGCTGCTCTCTAAAATATAAATGTCGTTGTCGTTGTTGGGCCGGTGTTTTTAATACACGAGTCCGAATTCTATGGTTTTTGCCACTGAAGGTTTAGCCAAGTTAGCTAACGCGTACAAAATACAGACTAGGCTGGAAATAAGTTTAGAGGATAAAATCTGCTATATCGGTCACCCTATCGAGGAACTAGCACTGCATCAAACGCATCTTAAAGGAGCAGTGAGGAACAATTTGTAATATTACAAACTCTGTCAAGAATGTTAACTCGATGTAGCGATATTTGGATACTCGGGTAATAACGATACTAAAAAAGCGGTTCGACCTAAAAAAAGAAAAAAAAACGTATACTTTATTAGAGAAAAGACATTCCACTCCGCTCATTTCCATGAGACAGCGCGTCTTTAACGCCAAGTTTTCCGCTAGCGGACCTGGCGTGCCGCGTCTGGGTACGCACGTGCATCGCGCTGTTGACGCTGTCGCGCAGTCTCGCGGCGTCGAGGAAGAGGATTACTGCCGGCGTACCGAGACACCGAGATCGTCGAAACAACCGGGACGGCTGTCTCGACTGGCGCTCGACGATAGATGGCACCCGCAAACCCTCCAAATTTAAAAGGGGAAACCCCGAGCCTGCGGCTCATCTATCCATTCGAACTCTGTGATCCGAATTCCGCTAGTGAAGTATTTGAGAACAGCAAGCTAATGGTGACACCGACTACGTCGTGTTCATTGTCACAACGCTGACGTGTTTCCAGTGAAAAGTTATTCCCAGCCACCTCTTTCGACAGGATTCGGATCCTATCGCCACTTCGGGTGCACCGTGCAAAAGTAGTATACTCCGGCATTCTTCCCACTGCAAAACAATCTTTAAAAGTGAAGGTTGCCGACTGGTTCTTGGGACCTGTGCGTAGCTTATGAGTTCCTTTCCATTCCTGTCCTAGAACCACAAACCGAGAGAACCCTACGGTACGATGGTGGTTATGCCCAACAGGAACTGTCACATAGCCGGGTGCCACGTGAGACTGACTTTGAGTGAAATGCACTTCGCTTCCATCTCTCACGAGATCACACGCAGCACCATGTCTTTTTTTTTTTTCTTTTTCAGTGCTTCTGCGCGCACCGCCCACACCGCCGTCACGCTTAGCAAATCCTGACGCTTTGCGCTTCTAAGCCTGGCTTAAAGTGCAAGCTCGGCATTTTGCCTTTTACTTGGGGTGCTCTGCTTTTAACTAAAGAATGCAAAGGGCGCAAGATGCATTTTCTTTATTTACGAGTCTACATGCTCATTCATGCCGTCACATGACGTGATGGAATTACGCCTGTATTCATCCCCACCTACCGATATTTTTTTTTTCCAAAACTATATTCGGCTAGACTCTATTTGTGGGTTTATTTTCTCGCGTAGGAATGATGCACCTTAGTAGTGATGCCGTTATAATGGTAGTGTTGTCAATATATTTTATTGACACTATTAGCATTTACAATAGTGTTCCTACGTAATAAAACATATATGGTGACGATCGTTTTGTCGACTAACCTGCAATTAACTAGCCCAAACGTAGTCATCAAATTGATATTAGACATTTTTTTTCGCCCAACTGCAATCTAGTTCATGTCCGTGTCTTGTGCATGTATGCCCGATAGTAAGGCGACGAAGAGCTGGACATCATAAGTATAATGTTTTGTGTTAATCGGCATCTATTGTAACCTAAAAAGTAAGATGAGCAGAGAGGTTTTTTAATTGTCTCACCCTCAGGGCCAGCATTCTTTCACTTCCGCGAAGTCTTTGTCGCTTCGAGAGCGTTGAGCGTGTACCTGTAGCCAAAGCACGACAGAAAGCAGCGAGCGAATGTTGGAGGCTGAGCATTTGAAATAGACTCCCTGCGCTTCTTCTTTCACTGGTATACAAAAAGTAGCATCTCTCTCTTCTGCTTTTTTTTTTTTTTTTCTGGGGGGAGGGGGGGGGGGGGGGAGGGCGGTTTTTCGGCTTTTGTTTTTATTATAGTTTGTTTGCAAAGAATATTTTAAAAAGAATGCAATTGGCCTAAAACTGACTTGTATCATTCGCGATCTTTGTACGCCGTGCAGAGAAATCCGAGGAAGTAAGCCTAAAAGAAATGACCGTAGAATGTGTAAACAAAGTCTCGTTTGATAGCTTAGAATTCCGCAACACGGTGCTCTCCGAGATAAACAGGGGGAACTTCAATAACAAAAGCAGTAATTTAACAAGCTACCTTTACTTTTCTCTTCTCGGGCATCAAACACCACGCTCCCAGTCGGTGTGCGCGGTCGCCCAACCGAAACAGACAGCGGGAGGATATCTCGCAGGCAGACCGGATTTAGATAGCGGAACAATTTCTTGAACCGTGTTGTGGCAGGCAAACAGCCGCGCGAGCGGCGTTACACAAAGACGGTGAGACGTTTTTTTGTTTGTTTGTTTTTCCCTGGTGGAACAACGAGATGCGAGAAAGTCAACGCGAAACATTTCACGCATCTCGTTTTCCCGGCTTGTTGCACCCACACACGCCGGCCATTCTGCTTCCATCCGGGGGAAACTACTTGGAGATGCGCATCACAAGGAGAACCGGGCACATCCGGGTCCTTTTTATTTATTTTTTGCAGCTAGTTTTTTGTTTATGCTTCACATAATAGAATTTCACTGGCCGGCGCAAACAATTCCATTGCTGACCTGCCCAAATTGACGACCTCATGAATTCGAGAGTAGGGGGAGGCGTCAAAGTTTGGCAGACTTGGAATGGGGTGCGCAGGCATGATTGCTAAACAGGATTTCGTGTTGTTGTTGTTGTTGCGTTTCATTTTATTATTACGTCGGCTCGCTTTCAGTAAAGTGAAGCTAGATAGGTCTCCTTCTTTGCCTTTGAAGGGCGTTTACAGCCAGCTGCAACCTCACTTAAGATAGGCTAAGGTGAGATGCTTTGTTACGCCTGCGCAATTTGGAGCTTTCGAGCGCGACATTATATTTGATAAAATCCTCTTCAACTGGATGTTTCCTCGAGGTTCAAATTAGCGCGCGATATTGTCCCGGGATGTTTTATTGTATATTTATACTTTTCTTTTTGTAAAAGCTTGTGGATTTTTTTTTTTTTTTTTTAACAGCGTTGAGCTGGCAGTTATGTTTGGACCTCGGGTGTTAGTGAGATATCACGTGCCAGGCTCGCTTATAACAATGGCGACAATCTTAGTTAAGTAATGTAGTCAAAATTACAAAGTATACACTCCCCCCACCCCCCGAAAAAAGATATGAATCAATGCAAAGGATTATTATCGTCAAAAAATTACCGTGCTGTATTAGATTATTTTTTTTTTCTTAAAAAATAAACTACGCATTGCCAAATGCTCAAGCCTCGCACAAATGTAGTGCTAGCGGTTCAAGCCAAATGACAGTTTCTGAACTTTCTGCTATATCGTTCAAAAGTTACGTGAGTTTCTGCAAATTTCAATAGAAAAATGGGGCCCATTCATGGCGCAATTCATCTCCATGTATTAGAACGGTCTGTGAACCGCCAATCTTTTTATGTAAATTTTTTTAAAAGGATTTGTATATTTTGAGGAAGATAACAGGTTAGTTCTGAAACTTTGACATCTCGCTCTGATCGCTTGTGGCGGAAAATAAGCGTTCGGCCGTGCGTGATTTTTTTTTTCTTTCTGTAAAAAAGAAATATTTTGTAAATAGTTTGGTGCGGCACCTCGTACAATAGTTACAAGATAAATATAACGTTTCAAGATGCCCCCGATGCTCTAGTAAGATTAATAAGATTAACATAATACATAAATGTGCTTTCGGCCTTGTGTTGCACTGGTCCTGTTTGCGATTTTCGCTTAGAGCAACAGCAGCATGGAGTTAGTGTTTCGTGACATTAAGTCGCATTGTAGCGCTTAAGTTCTGGGATTCTGCCGACTTATAGCATATCAGCGCGGGAGATAATGTTGCACCCGATGCCTGTTTTCACTTCGCGGAAAACACCTTATATCAGGCGACTTTTTTAACAAAATACATTGGCGAAAGTTTGCGAGTTAATAACGTTAAGCGATGACACGCTTGTAATCAAAGCGGGACATTTTGTGCTGCTTTTAACGCATTACGCTCAAAACAAATGCTGCTCCTCCAGCGCTCTAACACAGTGCTTTGTCTTTTTTTTTCTCTCTTAAACCCGTCCTTCCTTCCTCTGTATCCCTTAATACTTGTCTTTTTTTGCCTTGTCATCGCCACATATTATTTGTACCTTTTCCACAACATTGTTTCTCATATAATATGATTTTTCTATGGGATTTTTCCCCTTTAATATGTTTTTGCTCTTCAACTATGTATCACATACATCTTTCGATATTTGATTTCTTCTTATTTGTTTTCAAATACTTGATTTCTTATGTTGTTGTTTCCTCATTCTATGTTCACTTGAATGTCTGCCCTGTATCTTCATAATATACCCTTGCGCCTTACTCCTGCATTTCATTTGCACATTTTGCGCTACCTCTATTCTCCTTACCATTACTCGGTCCCTTTTTATATATTATGCTCATACATTTTCCTCGCCCTTATTCTATTTCTTGGCACGATATTTTGGACCATATTTACGTTATACCTCGCATCAACGCCATCCCTTCCTCGCACGCTCTTTTTGCGCCATCCTTCCGCCTGATCGCTTTTCGTTCCTCCCCGCACTTCTGAATCCTAATCCTCACCTTGAATCCTCCTCTCCTCTCCTGGACCCCTTGCACGTTCCTTTCCGTACCCCCACCAACAGGAAGTACGTCTCAAAATGGTTGACCCCAAAGGATTCAGCAAATCCTCGACTCTGGAGAACACCGTCAACGGCGCGCCGGACATCGAGTCAGCATTTTGCAAGAACCCCAACAAATTATTTGGCGTCAGCCCTTCCGATATCGACAAGTACTCCCGAGTGGTGTTCCCCGTTTGCTTCGTCTGTTTCAACCTCATGTACTGGATCATTTATCTGCACATCAGCGACGTTCTGCCGGACGACGTTAACGACGAATAGTGCACACGGTCCCCATTTCCCCCGCGTTACGCATTCGCCTTTAAAGTTGTCGTCCTTCTTCGTCGGTCCCCTTACCCCCGTTGCGGTGTCTGGAACGCGACTCGGACCGGTGTGTTGAGCGTCCTATTTCGCGTCATCAAATGTGGTCCCAAAGTGCCAACCAATGACGCCATGAAAACCGGAATGTCACGCTGTCGGACGTCGCGATCCTGGTTCATTGGTCGCAGACGTTCCAGCAAAAAAACATAAGCAGACGCGAGTGTCGCCGTCGTCACGGCGTCCCAACTCCTGGCTGCCGAAGCTTCAGGCCCCTGGCCAAGCTGGAGAGTGACCTCTAGGAAAACAGGCGTCTGACACTTCCACCACCTCTGCTGTGACGCCGCCAGGATCGCGGTCGGCGGCAGCATGACACATTGATGACGTCATAAGGCGGAAATTGAGGGACTATTTTCTTTTTGTAAGACGCGGTAAACACACCAGTTGGAGACTCGTTCCAGGCAACATACCCCCGTTGTGGGCAAAGAGATTCCAAAGAGAACCAAGAAGAACTCCCGGATTTTAACAAAACGTCGCAGTATATGAAGCTAAAAACAGCACCAAAACGGTAAACATGTTTTCGGCCACCTCTTTTGGGGTGGCGTCTCCCACTCACAGTTCCCCAAACACTTGTCCACCCCTATCCGTCTCGTAACGCCACTCGGACACTGGGTCTCACTGTTGCAATTTCGCTGCCGTCATCGCTAGTGGACTGCCTTTTTTCTGTCTGCTCGTGTATGGGACTCGCTACGTGACGTCATTACTGTGTCCACTGGCGGGGGGTCTGCCGAACTGAGCCAAGCCTGACTGGCCTTTCGGTTAATGTGGGGTCGTATTTTGTATTGTAGTTCTAAAGGATCAAAGCCTCTTCTCGGTAAGCTATTAGTAAGCTATTAGTAGGCATAATGTACGATTTAACCAAGGAGTATTTAATGCGCTTAATAATGTATTATGAAATGCAACAAACATTCATATCGTAACGGCTCTGATTTCAAAACCAGCCACTTACTGGGAACCTTACCCACTTCATTTTCGACAATTCTCCTGAATATGAAGTGCAATTTGTTTTATATTGAAAGATAAAGGCCGATTTGCTCTTATCAACAGATCGGTACCACCAATCAGTTAGAGCCGGAACAAAACAGCAATGACATCACGTCCCCCAGAGCAACCGACCTCTCTTGTGCACTCGAACACGCCACGTTATATTCGACACATTGCTGGCAACCCTGCATTATGACGAAGTTCCGAGACTGGACAAGCGGGGACCAAGGCGAATGCGAAACAAAGGGATCACAGGACAAGGAGTTCTTTCTTTTTCATCTTTCTATTACCGTGCCCTTTCTCCAGTCTTAAATTTTCGTCGTTTTTCTAGCAGCCCGCAGCTAACTGGCCCTTCGACTGCGTCATGTACAGAGTCTCTCAGTAGGCTCTCTTTTACATCCTGTGGGCGAACCAGAACCCACGCACCACCTGGGCCTTTGCGAAAGCTGAACTGACGCGCTCCGAGTGCACCCTATTTGAGGCAGCCCACCTGCGTACACATATCTGAGGCAGCTTGTAAAAAATATGAACATCAATAAGTCCCTCAAAACCAAAAAGCTGACATTCGTATTTCAGCAGATCAGTCCACCGCGTGCTACCATTCAGCAACATATCTTAAGAGACCTTGTTGTCCCAGTGGCATTCGATTGACAACCCCCCCCCCCCCTCACAAATTCTGTTACTTGACCTTTGAGTTCGAGGTCCGCCAGTTCAAAGCGGGTACTTCGTGAATCTTAGATAAGACTTGGTGACGCTTGCGAACATCATGGTGTGTTTGCTTGGGTTGCGTACTTTATTTTAATTGTTGATTCTTCCAAAGAAACCCCCGTTCGGGTCGATTCCAGCGCGCGCGACATCCACAACCCCTCATCAACACCGCTCATCGTGTGAATGAACCACATCTGTTTCCAGGGAGAAGGATGAATCGTTTTCGTAACAATGTGTGTTTGGGTTTATCTTATGGCCCTCTTTCAATTTTCTTGAATTGTAAAGTAACCTCAGTTCAACGAGACTTCGAATCTTGTCTTGGTGCCTTCACTCCGGAGTGTGGCTGCCGCGTTCAGACATTGTGTTGTCCTCCTTCTCTATAAGCTCATATATGTGTGTATCTCCCATTTCTCGTAGACGCAACAGTCAACGCTATAATGTTCGGAGCCCTGCACGGGTAAACACACACACAAAAAAAAAAACACTTATCGCACAGATTCTTTACAATTGTAGAGCATTGATTCTGCAAACCATCGCTGTTGTGATTGTGGCTTTGTTCGCTAATCTTTGGCGTTATCGCATCGATTTGCGAGTGAGACGACTAGCTGTTTCCTCGTCTCCCGATTGTTCTTGATTTTGGCTCAGTTTACCAAGAATCGCACAGACCAGCCCCCCTTACGCAAGGCTGTAGGATGTTTTCGGCTGTATCTTCTGAGTCGCTCCTCAGTTTGTATCGCTCAGTATGTACAGACAACTCTGAGTTTCAACCGTCTTTGTCAGAGAGGACGTCCTCCGTTCTGCACATGCGCCCCTGTACAATTCTGAAGACAGAGAGCTTCAAAATTTCAGGAGACGCGCCCCCCTTCCGCCTACTGTCGCGCAAGCTAGCCTTAGCACCCCGTCCCGCCGTTAGTGTTATTGTTAGGATGTTAACGCGTTGTCATGAAGCGTTCTTGTGGAGTTGTTTGCATGCGAACTGTGATTTTTGTTTCTCAAGCCTGTTAAACGTGTGTTTTTGTGTTTTATTTTTGTTTTTGTTTTCTGTTTAGCTTTGACATTGGCGCCCGTCCCGACCTCCCAGCGCGAAGTGTCCTAAAGGTCTATTGGCACTTGGATGCTTAGTCGTACTTCGGATTATAGCATATAGATTTACCAAGATGGAGGTCCGAACCAGTTCGATTTTAAAATATTCATATGTTCGTTTACATTTTTTTTAATAATCACCACTCAATGATCCCTTTCAGAATATTGAAATAAGAATTCATTTCTCACGTAAGAACGCATAATAAAATTTCAGCTTACGCTTCAAACTACCGTAACCATACCGGGCAAGTAATAAACAGTACGTCCGCTAGAAATGCCCTCAATGAGGTTTACATGTTCATGTTCTGACTCAAAACTTTTAGAATAAATTTTGTGCAAGCCCACAATTTGATATGCGAGTAAGCAAAATACCTAGCGCACTTCTTTTCTTAACAGAGGCATAACATCAATACATTATGATTTAGATAAGCTATCCTACGAGCTACAGCCATTTTCAAAACTGTTCTTTAACGTAATTTTAAGACAATTCTCAATTAATCATATTGTAGCTTTAAAAGACGAAATTATATTTTTTATTTCGCTATACTTACTGCGGAAATGTGAATAAAAAATCATTGCGTCACAATAAATACAACCTGATTTATTTTAACTCTTGTCTATTAGCTAAAATATATTGATTCACTGCAGAATAATATTATATTATGAATATAATGTCAGAAAGCGCTGAGGAGACCGTCCAAAAGGTCCATATAAAAAAAAAGCCTATATCGTGTTGTGGTCATGTAAATAGTACCTAAGTCTCAAAGAAGAAAACTCAACACATCAAACTCCGATGTTTATAGGTCCCCTATTTAAAACAAAAAAACAAAGCCCTCTGGTACGAATTAACCACGGCGTATTGCGCCGCACAGGGATATGAGCTTCTTCAATTATGATTCCACAGCGACATCATATGAAGACATAATCAAACTTTGTGCTTTTTTTATTAAAAAAAACATTTAATTGCCACTATAATACTTCCACCGAGCCTCCACGTGCATGTTATCCCCATTTAGCTTTTATTGGTGTTGAAACTCTCTGGCGACAACATGTTCGTTGTTTAGGACGACCCGTACCACGTTACAACCGTCTGAGAAAACAGAATCGCTTGGTGTTAGGACAGTAGGCTGTTTCCTGTTTAGCTAAAAACACCGCGGCTTCTTGCAGCGGCGAGTACTACCTCAGATGCAACATTATTTCTTTCGGTACTGAAGTTGTTTTAGTACCACTTGCGACGTATACTTCGTAATCCATTCGTTTTGTTTTCGCTTCTTTGTTTCCTTTTTTTAGGGTTATCTCTTTCGGTAAACTATGAGGTTGCACACAAATGTTATGCGTTGACGCTCCTTCAAGTCAACTTCTTGCACTATGAATGATTCACTCACCCATCACGATAACGAGTCCCTTCTCCCGATTACATTCTAAGGCTTTTGCCTCCACCATCATTTCCCACCCCATCTCGCGAGCCGTGATGAAAACTCCATCGAGACTCTTAGCAAAAAAAAGAAACAGAAGTTATATCCAGGAATGATCCTTTTTGCGTTAGGTTGAAGCAGCAGACATTATGGGGTGACATCGACTCATTCCCCTCTCCAGACGAGGCGACATTGTTTGTTGCAATCTATCTTTGAGGATTCCAGATTAGATTTTTAAAAAAAAAAGAGGAAAGGCCTTTCGCGTCATCCGTTGATTCTCGGGAAGAAGAAGCCTAGCCAGATGAATGGTAGGAAGAGCATGCTTGGTGTCGACAAAAGAAAAAACAAACACGAAAAAGTAGAGATCCCCCTATGGTCCAGCGTGTCTTGTCAATGTCGCTTTTACCCCCTTCTCTGGCCCCAATGTTCGTCGTGTGCATGCGAGCGCGAGTGTGTGTTCTTATAAAATAAAAAAAATAAATGTGTGTGTTTTTGACAAAGGTCGGGAAGACGACGACAAACCGCGTTCATGCAGGAACTTTTTTTGTTGGAGCTGATCCCCGACTAGACTATAAGCCCCCCGTCGTTCGCTTGTATTCACGAGGTTTCCGTTCCCTCAATGTTGTAACGGCAGATACTAACCGCGACCCAGCGCCACGACTCAGTCTAAAATCGCCGTGGCTCTCGCAATTCTCGCAGTTCCCGTGAAATTCG